TCCTCTTCCTTTTCTTTCTCTGCCATTTTCCCTTTCGCCTCCTCTTCCTTGCCTTTCTCTTTTTCTTTTGTCTCTTCTTTCTCTATCTGTTGCTCTAAAATAAAGTTGATTGCAGAGTGTTGGTTGATGCGCAGAAGCTTACTTGTTTCCTCTTCTTCCTCTTTCCCTTCGTCCTCCATATTTTGATCGTTTTCTTCTTCCTCTTCTTCGTATTCTATTTCCATCTTTGGCGGAGGTTTCCTGTGAAAACAATTATAATTCAGCCTATTCTCACATCAAGGCAAGCAGGGTACCTGGACTTTCCCTTGCCCTTAGGTTTCCTCTTCGGTTCTCGCACTTCTTGATTAGCTCTGGCACGACCAATAGCTGCTCTGTCCTTAGTCTGAAACATGACTTATTTGGATGCAAAAGTGCAAAAAAATCAAAATCTCAAAAAATACCTCAAAGCAAGCAGTCACTTCCAACTGTTCGCTTGAGAATTTTGCACAGCCAGTAGGTTTCAATTCTTCAGCCAGTGAGTCGTCTCCGGTAAATGAAGCACAGCCGATAGTGTTATACTCTGTCATATGTCCTAGCTTGGATTTTATTCGAGCCTACAAAAACTTTATTTTATTTTTAAGGTTTCCAACATGTCCCTTGATTCAATGTGTGTTTGCGTGCAGTCTCGCGCGTATGCGCTGCTCGCGGGCCAGTATGCGACGCGGCTAGCAACGCGTTTGTGAGAAATGCTCAATCGTATAGACCAGCGAAGGAAAAATGTGCAGACATTGCATATTTGAGAAGTTTCTGAGAATCTAAAATAGTCAGAAAGTGAGAAAAATCAGCGTGTACCGATCGGAGTAGTGTACAATAAGAGTGCGATAGGTGTACTGTAAACGAAATGCAATATTTGCTTGAGCCACGTTCGCGAACTTTTTTCCGCAAAGCTGATTTGAATTTTTGAAAAATTTATGGAGAATAATTTCTACCCTCTGATTCAATGGAATAGGCGGCTAGAAGAACGACCGCCCGCAACCGCGCACGCCCTCTGATCACTCTCTAACTACGTCACCAAGCGCCTCCCAGCCGCCTATCTGGTTAAACCAAAGTGTACACGAATTTGTGATTTTCCCCAATTATCACCGAATTCCTATCAAAAGTCAATCAATGAAATAGATTTGTTCTATAATAAGCATATCGACGTTTTTCAGAGCAAACTTCTACTTGCTTTTGTTCATCTTTCAAAATTATTAATTTTTCCATTAGACCGTCGTGCTGAAAGCTGCGGCTTCCTGTAGAAACTGGAAAAAAATGGTTTTTCATGAATTTGGTAAGCTAGCATGTCTGCTCCGAGTCAAGTTACATTCTACTCATCACATAATACAGGGTGGTCCACATGAAGTGTGACACAACAAAAAAATATTATAACTTTGCAAGGACCAAATGAAATCAC